TGGTGGAAATCAAAGACAAGGAAGAGGTTTATTGGCAGCAGATAGTGGATTGGCAGCACCGAAATTGGTTTTGTGCTAGATCAAATGCTTGGTTAGTATAGTGAAGAGATGTCGTTTACTCGACGAAGAAAATGAAGGTAGTTTCATTTTGGATTCAAACTCATTGTTATTGAGATAATTCCTTCAGGTGCTCACTTTCGTCTCGAATCCCTTCCACTGCATCTCCGTTGCAGGTTTATTGGAGAAATTTCGCTGCTTGATGGTATGAAAGAATCTGCTGCGAGTTGCCGGGTTCCAGTTTCTTTAGCGCTTTGATTTTTTTATTGCTTCAATGTGTTTCCAGATTTTGTGTATCCCATATGGGGTCTCCAGCTTTCTTTATGACCAAAGTTGTAAATACTATTGCGTTCTCCTGGTAAGTGCGTCCTAGTGATGTCGAACTAATTATGTACAGCAAATGAATATATGATTAAATTATGACAATGTTGTTCCAACAAGAATTACACTAGAGGGAGATAATCACCTTTTAGCAGCAGCGCCTCATACTGAGATAGTAAAAAAATTAATGATTGCTGATTGAGAAAGCATCGACTGCAGTTTTCAAGCTGTTTTGCAACTGGTTTTTCCATCCTTGGTAATGACGCTACTGGCTCTTCCATCCTTAGCAATAAATGATTTGGACAATTTATCTCTTGAAAAGTTTGTGTTAATCTTAAGTAAAGAAATCCTGTGACTTTTGAAATGTGAACAAATATCAGTGTAAATATCATTTGGAATCTCCAAGATCACCTGGTATTTGAAAAATGCCGAGTTTTCCAAATTTCAAGAGCTTTTTCATCATAGTGGAAAGGACAGACCAATCAGGCCTCTAAACTACTAACAGTCAGAGGATGGGAGGGGGATACAGCAAGAGTCAAAGGGGACTTCGTAAAATTTCTGAAAGTCAGGGGGGACTTCGTCTTCAGAAACCCTAGAAACCGACTCGTGCCGGGCCCTGGTTCAAATACAACTTCTGACGACATCCGAATACTTTTCATTCAAAAATCTGGATTGTTTCATCAACAATCCAGATTCTCAAGTTTTATGGGGAAATTAACTCTTGTTTCCACTTTTTCTGAATACGAATACATTCTTAAGAAATTTTGAAAAAATGCAAAAATACAAATACAAAAATACAAAAATACAAAAAAACCAAGATACCAAAATACAAAAATACAAAAATACCAAAATACCAAAATACAAAAATACAAAAATACAAAAATACAAATACAAGTACATCCAAATACATTTTGCACATTCCAGCGGCATTGTATCAACCTGGCAGAAGAGTTTTGCCGCACCATGTTCAAATTATAATTTATGATTTTCTTAACCGATTTGTTTACTTTATTTTTATTGAAAGAGCAAACCATGCTTTCCATAACTGTAATTCAGCAGCTTTCTATTGAGCATACTTTGCATAGATAAAAGCGATAGAATAGAAATTCATACATTTTGATTTTCCAGTTTGTTCGTAAAAATCTGAGACTTGCAGTAAAAATGAAGGAGTCAGTATTATAGATATTACTACCTGTTTCTAATTAGCCGAAGGCTATGCCAATTGAACGTTTTCATCGTTTTTTTTATGATTTTTGGGGCAATCAAGCAAAACAACTAATAATTTGTTGGCTTTTTTTTCAAAAATCGTAATTTTTCACAGAAACATTCAATCAGCACAACTTTTGCTCTCAAACCTGTAATACCGACTTCTCCGAATCTTACTGCAAGTTTCAGCTTTTGACGGCAAAGCTCAGGGAAATCGAACTTTGAGTAGTTTTCTTCTTCATCATTTGATTTACACCAAAGTACACTACATGAATGTTTTTGCAAAGTGAAACACAAAATTCGATAATATCTATTTAACATCTGGAAGAACGAATGCGCAGTAGAGCCAAATACCCGTCCATGTATATGTGTAAGCTTGACAGACAAACTTAGGACGCCCACTGAGCATCTGAAATTCTCACTTAGTTCAAACGAGACATGAAGGGGGAATGGAACTTATGAGGGAATGGAACTTATTATGTCTCATAATTCTTTATCTTTTGTACCTTAAACATCAGCATTTCTCGAAAACTAAGGCATTTACGAGGGGTACAAATACACGATTGTGTCTGTATGTATGAGCTACATAATCACGTAGTGGGAGGGAGATTTAGGGACATCTAGGGGCGGAGATTGCCATTTTACTTCATTCATTTTTCTTCTTTATTTCTAGCCAGGGAAAAATTCGGAAATCGTACATTTGGACATGCGATGTGTAAAGCATATGCTAGGAAACGGAGCATTGTTTAGATTTTTGAGGGCGGAGATAATTTTTGACAGTGAAGTTCGTTTCTGATGCTCTCAGATTTTCAAAACTTGTGGAATACGATTCGGCCAGATTTTCGACAGCCATCTTGTGGAGCTTGCGTTGCCTTATTTAATGAGTACCCAAGCCATATCAGTGAATGAAAGATACAGAAAGACGGCGGATATAGTAAAAAACGGTAAAAAAATCATGAGACACCCTAATACATACCGGATAGGCCTCCGCCACGGTTAGCACAATTCTTGAGAGGTCATGAACTAGCAGCAGTTTTAATTTGCATTCAACTAGCACCGAGGAAATCCGCACACGACTCCTCCACATTCTACAATTTGTGAGACCGGGGATTTTACAGAAGTTTCGAACTTGAAGTTCAGTCGTGAATCTTGTCCATTAAGCATAAAAATTTGTATTTGGAGGTACTTTGTCATGCTGTTTTTGATTATGATGGTGATTTCGTTAAGCTTGGGATTCCTTTTCTTTTTGATTTTGAACTTGTTTTCGCAGATTTTCCGTCAAAAAACTCCAAAATTGTTATTCGAAGGTTTTCTTTAACGCTTTTTACGATTACGTTGATGATTTTGCTTAGATCAAATTTTTCTTTCAAAATTCCGACTTCTTTAGAAAATTCTCATAAAGTCTTGGTAGATTTAATTCGTAGGCGTTTTCTGCCAACCTGTTTCCGAATGCGATAATGGTTCCGCTTGAAACCTTGGATTCTTTTCTTTTCAAAAAACCTTTTTCGCATCCCTGCAAATATGAAGATAGTGACGAGGGCTTTTTCTATCGTACCATTTTCGATATGCTGGTGGTTTTACTCAAATCCCCAAAAGATTCCGAGATACTTGATCTGAGGGACGGATATTTCAAAATTTGAAGAATTTGTGAGTTTGTCTTCGTTATCAGTTTACCAACCTTGCAGTAAATTTGTGAAGAAGATGGGTGAAATCAGAAAATTCAAAGGTTTGCAAGTGAAACCACTATCATTTTCGGAAGCAGCATGACAGAAAATCCGCGAATATGTACGAATTCCAATGAAATTTTCTTGAAGAAGATGAGATTTTGAAAAGAAATTGAAAGGGTTTCGACAAGACCATTAGCGTATTCGGAAACGCGTCTAGAAAACCCCAACAATTTTAGAGTTTTTGGCGGAAAGCTTATAAAACAAGTTCAAAGTTCAAGTAGAAGAAAATCCCAAAGTTTCAAGCAAGGACACCATCATATTTGATAACAGCATGACGAAATATTAGATCCTCCGAAAGTAATGTCGCTTTTTTCAAATGAACGCCACATTTCGTGGAACCAAGATTTTCAAGAGCTCTTGGGATAAATCGATGCAGCATTTTGTCCTCTTTCTAATGATTTTGATTTTATTCCATAATATTAATGAGTTCTCAAAAAATTACCAAAACCTGCGACCCATTCTTTCTGTCATGGTCAAGTTCCGCTATTTTTCTATATTTTTGCGCTGATTCCCAGAAGATGTTCCATTGAAAAATCTCTACAAAATTATGACGAGCTACGGAAAGTAGCAAGAAATCGTGCTGTTTCCTATAGGGTTTGCTCAATCCACCTGTCTCTTGGACTCCTTTAAAGGATTGTTGTAAAGATTTAGGAAACCTGTGAAACTTGATCTTCTCAAAAAGCATGGGTCGCAGATTTTGGTAATTTTTTTGAAGCTTATCAAATATTGTGCAAAGCTCATATAATCATTAGAAGGAAAATGATATGCTGCATCGAATGCTACCAAGATCTCCTAGAGATCTTGTTCCCACGAAATGTAGCGTTGGCTTGAATAAAGCGACATTACCTTCGAAACGACCTAATCTTCCAAATACAAATTTTTACCCCTATTGGACAAAATTCATTACTGAATCCCAAGTTCGAAGTTTCAATAAAATCGCCGTCTCATAAGATGTGGGATGACGGCCAAATTACCGTGGGCAGAATTAGCTCTCCTCGGTGTTAAATGAGTGCAAATTAGAACTGCTGCCAGTCCATGACCTCTCACGAACTTTGCTAACTACGCGGCGGCGCGATATCCTGGTATGTAAGTTCCCTCACGCAAGCTGAAGCAGTGATTCAATATTGAAGCTTTTTTATTATGTTTTTTTGTTGCCTCTTAAAGGCAGCGACTCGGCAGATTCTCGACTTGCAGTTTTTTTGGTTACCTGATGTAATTCGGGGTGCTGATTCCGAAAATCCACATTGAAGAGTGCGAAAATGGCAAAAACGCCACCTAAAACCGTCACGCGCAAGCCATTCTAATACACGCAGAAGAGCTTGCGATTCTCCCTGCCCCGTCAGAGGAGGCATGCCACAACGTTATAACAGCGTGGGTCCCGCAACTATTCTGCCCCTCTAACCATGGCGGGACGGGCTCCACTCGTCCGAATGCAAAACGGAAAGCCTTGGGAAATGGTGGTTTTTGCTATTTTCGCGCTCTTCAATGTGGATTTTCGGAATCAGCGAATCGAATTACCCCCACGTAAGCAAAAAATTTCAAGTCGAGAATCTGCCGAGCTGCTGCCTTTGAACTTCAAATTTCAATGTGGCATATACAGTACACGACACTATTCGCCTGTTTCAACAAAACACATATTTCAAATTCAGAATGGAAACTAATAATAATAATAATTCTTTCAGCGCCTTACTACATATCAAACTTGCTTACCTCGCAGGTTTTATTCGTGTTCTTAGAAAGGTGGTAAGAAGTGATGTATTCGATGTGTTCCTTTCCTATTTGGGACCAAGTTTTTTCCGTTTTTGGCCATTTGCTGCTGAAGTTCAAACATTTCATGAAACAAAATTAAGAATGACAAGCTGGTCCGCACAACTCACATAAACGAGTAGAATATACGAGCGTTAGGATAAACTCTCGTCCACCAAAAAAGATAGTCATGGAGATAGTGGTACACGCTATGATCGTAGTTCTGTAAGAAATTCATTACAGGGAGTAACAATAAACTTTTGAGGGTATTTAGTGTAACGGTAAAAGTTACTCCAAAGTCTTGTGCAAGTCAGATTTTAAATAGCTTGAATTTTTCACTTCAAAGGCATGCAATTTTCTCAAACCGCAACAACATAGCTCTTTTTGTGCAACTGCCAAGTTCTTGAGGAGCTCTTTCTATATGTGCAATTTGTTGCTTGAATTGAATCTCATTTTTTATTCGATTTTTTGGTTTGGATCCCCGAATTAGCGCTGCACAGCACTGCTGAAATGGCATTTATTGAGCCGTTTTCAATATCACTGAGTAATAGCAATCCAAATGTTCGCATAGATTCATAAAGACAATGTGTTTTGAGGTCAGAAATCAAGTTTTTGGGGCTATCATAGGCGGGCTTTCTACAAGAAGCTTGGGTATCTCATTCACTCATAATCTTTCCGCCACTCATAATTCTACTTATGCAAATCTGCAAAAATTTTGATCTTTTAGATTAAGTCATGCAGGTTTAAAGCAGCATTCGAAGTTATGAATTATCGCTAACCAGCTGCAAAGTCCCATTGTTGCAGTGTTCTTTGAAATACTTTAGGAAACTTTCCCGCAGAGCATCTTCCTTTTCTGTATTGCGTTTGTTGTACTTATTCAATCCGAAATCACTCAATCCGAGATCGGCCTCGAGATTAACAGCATGACCTGACGAAAGCAGGACCGACGAAAGCTGAATTGGTAATTGTTTATGTGAATTCGCAAAGAATGCAACTTACAACGAAGAGATTGTAAAGCAACATTCTGTAGCAGATCTGCTTACTCTTCGAACACTTATGTACTGGCGAATATTGACGCGACATAAAAGCTATCAGACATGAGGTGATTGGACTCTCGTGATTGTTCGGAATTCAATGAGAATGTGACACTCAAAGCGCGTTTTGCGTAAGCGGTTACTACCGCTTGTATAGTGCACTACAGATTTATTCATTGTACGAAAGTGCATTTTCAATTAAATGATGGTAGTACCGTGTGAGCTTCCGCTACTGATCGTTCGCAGTTTTGATTATCTCACAATGAATCAAAGGCTCTGTTGTCTTTGGAGCTGGGCATGCTGAGATTCAGTAGTTTAGTGTTTTGCCAACCACGCTTGCTAGTGGATGTTCATTCAACTGACGTTTCTGCGTATACTCGCGTGAGGTCTGAACGTAGCACATATTCCTTATCGTTAGATGTGGCTTGAATCGTTTAGAGTTTCCCGTTTATCGCCAGTCTGGACCGAATGTAAAGGTGGCAGCGTTCACAAAAGTTTTGAAACAATTTCAATCTAACCAAACCCGCGCAAATTAGCAGTAAGGAAGTAAAAATAACGAACATCAACGAAAGTCAATCAGTAAATTAAGTGTAGCTGTAAACTTTAAATTGATGCACTCTGCAGTACATTATTGGTAGACAAACAATCTTTTTCGGCGTTCATTGCTTTCTTGCGAAGTTCCGCTCTCCCTCAAGAATCGTTTTTGCGCTAATTGTTCCTACATCTTACTTCAAAAATGTTTCAACCATACACACGGCACACGCACGGAACACACACGGCACACACACGGCACACAAGGCACACACACTAAGGCCCGTATGCACGTACATCCCCGCGGGGAAGGGAGGGGATCTGAGAGGGGAAGCGTCATATCTCGCTAGTCTACATATCTTTCTCCCTCTTTCTCTATCTTGCTTATGTAGTTTCTCGTACACTGATACCTGCGCATAACGGATGCCAGGTTACCGCCACACAAGATTAGATATTCACTATTTGATCTGATCCCCTGGGGATCCCCAGGGGATCACCTCACATTTTCAAAGTTATTTATCTTCCTGAAAAAGCAATGAAAACGCTGCGAAATTGTACTAAAGATATACTACGATACTGCTGAGCATGATTTCGACAGAAGAAATGGAATCTAAAAAATGTGATTTTTTCGATAATCCCTGGCTCGCGAGCAGCGGTTCATCGAAAATTTTGATATCTTGAGATTTCACTCATTTCTATTATAAACATGTTTAGCAGTGCTGTAGTATATCCTCAGTACAGTTTTGGAGCATTTTCATTGAGTTTTCAGGAAGATAAATGACTTCGAAGTGAGGTGATCCCCTGGGCATTATACTTGGGTAATTCGAAAATTTTCCATCGAATGAATGAATATCGAATAAATTCGAAAATGAAAAATTTCGAATAAACGAATATCGAATAAATTCGAAAATGAAAAAAACCCGAATAAACGAATATCGAATAGATTCGAAAATTAAAAAAACTCGAATGAATGAATTTCGAATAAATTCGGAAAATCAAAAATATCGAATGATTGAATATCGAATATATTCGAACATTGGGAGTCGAATTTCGAATAGATATTCGAATGATTTTTTGAATAACTACTGCAACATATCTAAAACTTGCTGACATTTCTGGCTAAAACCGATTCATTCATAATCAGCACCCTCATATCCCCTACACCAACTCCTAGCTCAAGCTTTTCCAGAAATCGGTGAAATCGATAAACAAAAATTTTATTCATAATCAGCACACTCACTTACCCCCCTGTACCAACTCCCAGCTCCGTAGCTCAAAGTTTCCCAAAAATCGATAAAATCGATAGACAAAAGTTTTGTTCATAATCAGCACCCTCACTTACCCCCCCCCCTGTACCAACCCCCAGCTCCGTAGCTCATAATCAGCACCCTCACTTACCCCCCTGTACCAACTCCCAGCCCCGTAGCTCAAAGTTTCCCAAAAATCGATAAAATCAATCGGCGTCCACTACATTTCAAGGGCAGTTTAGCAGAGTAGCAGCAAATGAAATTGGCTGGAGCTGAAATTTAAAAATGAGGCTTGCACACGCTATACATCAGTGGTGAGCTGGCGTTACATCTGAAGACATCTGTAACTCATTGATAGAAAAAGCATCAATTAAAATCCTCATTTATTTTTTTAATGTCGCAAGCAGTCGGAGGAATGCGACTTTCCATACAGTTCAAAGGTCGTTACGGTTGCAAAAAAGATGCATTACCTGGTCTTGTAAAAAATACGAAAACGAAGCGAGCTTGGTACTCACAGTTGGCTCTGCAACAAACTCGAAAAATTTGGATACAGAGTTCATTCGAATACGAATTCGAATAAACATTCGAATAAAACATTCGAATAAAATCTATTCGAAAACCCGTATTTCGATTATTCGAGTTTTCGAATATTATTCGAATCCTCGTTTTTTGATTATTCGAGTTTTCGAATTTTATTCGAAATCCTGTTTTTTGATTATTCGAGTTTCGAATTTTATTCGAAACCCCGTCTACTCAATTATTCGAGTTTCGAATATTATTCGAAAGTGGAAAAACTCCGAATATCGAATTTTCGAATCGAATATATTCGAATGTTTTATTCGAATGATCGAATTTCTATTCGATTCGGACCCAAGTATACTGGGCATCCCCAGGGGATCAGACGAAATAGTGAATATCTAACCTTGTATGGCAGTAACCTGGCATACGTTATGCGCAAGTATCAGTGTATGAGAACCTTCAAAAGTAAGACATAGAAAGAAGAAGAAAGATGTATAGACTAGCGAGATATGACGCTTCCCCTCTCAAATCCCCTCCCCTCCCCGCGGGGATGTATGTGCATACGGGCCTACGTCACATAAACATCCTTAGCTCGTCATTGTAAGTAGTGCTTTTCGCATGATTCCTTCAACGAGAGCTCAGGAAGGGTTGAATCATTTTCATTACGCGCCAACCTGAAATGCCGCCCATTATTGTATTGCAGATTTATACATAGACGATTGTTTCATAATTTGCTCAACTTAGGCAGAAGATGACAAGCTCAGCGAACAATCTGCATACATTAAGCTTACCAGAAAAAGGACCAGCGGACTGGTTGCATTTTTGAATGTGCAGATTGATATATCCTTAGGCGCGCACGTCACAAAATGGTATCGCAAGCCTAGTAACAAAAACATTCTTGTCCATTTTAGCTCATCCACGTTAAACAAAGGAGGCAGTCATTTGAATTATGTTCCGTACAGCCCTTCGTGTTTGTTGTGGACAACAAGAGAAGGCGGAATCACTTGAGCTTGCGCGGAAAATCGCTCCTCTAAGAATATGAAAATCGAAGAGCAAGAATAGGTGAAAATCGCAGTACTCAGGTAAACAGAACGAGCGCAAGTGAAAATCTTTTTTGCATCCCCTATATTTCCTAAACACTGCACTTCGACAGTGTGCGGAGTAGTGCGGGTTAAAAAATCAGTTACAATTGTAAAAAAAAACCCCCTTAAACAATCTTGAGAGCATTATAGTAAGCAGTTGTATGTATGATCGCGTCTGCGTTATGCCTAATTGTATCATCTGCCCTGGGGCAGGGGCGGAAATTGCATAACGACGGGGATTGCCTATATTATCACCTGCGCGAGTCTGCGGTGACGAGTACATAGGCGAGACAGCGCGGCCGCTGTGTGTTCGCATAGAAAAGCATGAAGGCACTTAACGATAAAAGCCGTGGCATATGCGTTCAGCTATTTAACGCTCGCTCTGGCAATAGAAATCTATCGGCTTTTTAGAAGATGAGTGCTCTTTTAGGCAGCTAACTACTGATCTACCAAAGCCTTAGAGTTTTGTTTGTATGGCTGCAGAGATTTGGTTGTCGGACAAGTTGTGCTGTCCATTCTAAGCTCTGAAGAAGGCGATTTGCCGAAACGTCAGCCAATAAGTTATTGACAATCTCGGAACAAGGTTCAAAACTACACATTACTATATCAATACCATGCCGAGATTCGTAGCGAGTAGCATGTGCATTTTCATTACATTGCTTTGCCATTACGCATGGAATAAAAGTTTTTGGACAATGCGAGCGATGGCAGATTCTGGCCATTTTTGTCGCGAACGGAAGAAATGGAGTTCAAAAGTCCATTTTTCCCCGTTATGGACTTTCGTGGATATGAATCCTGCACTATGCCATTTGCCGCATTTACCGGCTATCGACATCATTCGTACTCTTGTCAAACGCGCTGAACAAAACACGCCGCTTATCGCTTACAACTCTTTTCACAGAATCTTCCGCAGACAATGAACAAAACGCAAAAGACCAAAAAAGCGATCAAATGCGCGACTGATCAATGCGTATTTCCTTCTCAACAATTTCATTTAACTGCTTTCAAAACAGCGCCTCTGCTGCGAAGCAAGCCCGAGCAAATCTTCATTCGGAGATTCCTGACCTGTGTAGAGAGAGATCATGTTCGAGCACTACGACAGCAGGCACGTGATCTCAACAACAAAGAGCATGGCGGCGGCAGGGCCTTCGTAATTTACAAGGCCAGATTGTGAGGCCACAGACATATCAATATCAAGGCATCGGTCTCTAATTGTAAGAAACTAATTTTTGCTTGGATAATCCTGATAAATCTGTTTTCTCCTTAATGCAAGAAGTTTAGTAAACAAGCATGTGAAATTTATCGTTTCGTTCATTCTTATAATTTAGCATTTGTTTTTGTCACCGAGTCTTGGCTTAATAGCAATGTTACTGATGGAGAAATGACCTAACGTACACTATTCTACGTAGCGAACGGAAAGCAAACGTGTACTGGATGTGTGTGCACACTAGTCCAATATGATGTTTCATTTCGATATTGATGTGAGACATTTTCTATCAGCTACTCGTTTTTATTTTATCCTTATGTTTCCGATAATGTCAGACTTGTGCTCATTTATTGATTACCCAATCAGACTTCCACTCGCTGTGAAGAACTTATCAAATTTTAAA